AGCAAAGCCAGGGACTCATCTGAGCTCTCCCCCAAACCCATCCAAATACCTCTAACTAATGATTCTAAACAAATTCTAGAATGGCAGAACCCACAAAAAGATGGAGTGAAACAATTTTCCAGCACAAAATACCTTAGAAGATCAGCAGGAAAAGTCTGTTGCACCAGAGTAACAGAAGAGCATAGTCCAGCACAGGCCAGGACAGCACAGACCCAGACCCAGCAAATCAGGAGCAGGTCTTAGGGTGACTTTTCCAAACTTCTCAGCCCAATGATGACAAAGACAACTTAAAAGGTCAGCAGAAAAGCTCTATAGAGTGGATTGCAACACCCACATAGCCCCAGGCCCAGCAAACCAGAAGCAGGCCTTGGGAACCACTGAATCAGCAAGCAGCATCAGCTGGTTCCAGAGCTCTCAGCCCACAGACAGTAAGGGAGTCAAACAACTGGTCAGAAGGAGATTATGAGGGTCTTTTTGATAACACTGAAGCAGGACTCCATTGCTTTGCCCATACGCAGATCTGGGTCATAGTCTTGGTGACAGTCCCAGGATAAGGAGGAGCACTAGTACACCAGAGCTTATAGTCACAGTGGAGCTGTGTCCCTCATCACAGTTCCAGGGGAGAAAAGAATGCTTGTGATTACTCACAGACTAGAGCACAAGTCAGGACAGAAGTAAACAACTCTCCTTAGATCATACCACCTTGGAAGAATTGCAAACTTACAGATACCTAGAAGTATCTCTGAGAACAACTGCATAAAACCCCTGAAGCTTGTGGCAATACCCCCTCCACCCTGGAAGCAGATCCCTACTTTAACAAAGAGTTAAAAGTCAAGTAATAGGTTGGGAAAATGAGCAAACAACAGAAAAATATTCTGACCATAGAAAGATACTATGGTGACGAGGAAGATCAAAACACACACTCAGAAGAAGAAAACAAAGTCAAAGCTCCAACATCCAAAGACTCCAAGAAAAATATAAATTGGTCTCAGGCCATGGAAGACCTCAAAAAGGATTTTGAAAATCAAGTAAGAGAGGGAGAGGAAAAATTGGGAAGAGAAATGAGAGTGATGAAAAGCAAGTCAGCAGCTTAGTAAAGGAGATGTAAAAAATACTGAAGTAAAAAACACTTTAAAAAACAGACTAGGCCAAATGGTAAAAGATGTACAAAAAAGTCAATGAGAAGAATGTCTTAGAAGTAGAATCAGCCAAATGGAAAAAAGACACAAAAATTCATGGAAGAAAAAAAACTCCTTAAAAAGTAGAATTGGCCAAACAGAAAAGGAGGTGCAAAAGCTCACTGAAGAAATAATTCCTTAAAAATTAGAATGGAGCAAATGGAAGCTAATGACTTTATGAGAAATCAGGAAACAATGAAACAAAACCAAAAGAATGAAAAAGGAGAAGACAGCGTGAAATATCACACTGGAAAATCAACTGACCTGGAAAATAGATCCAGGAGAGATAACTCAAAAATTATTGGACTACCTGAAAGCCATCATAAAAAAAATAGCCTAGGCATCATCTTTCAAGAAATTATCAAGGTAAATTGCCCTGATATTCTAGAATCAGAGGGTAAAATAGAAATTGAAAGAATCCACCAATCATCTCCTGAAAGAGATCCCAAAATGAAAACTTCCAGGAATATTAGAGCCAAATTCTGGGGTTCCCAGGTCAAGGAGAAAATATTCCAAGAAGACAAAAAGAAACAATTCTAGTATCATGGAGCCACAGTCAGGATAATAAGCAGTTTCTGCCTTAAAGGATCAGAGGGCTTGGAATATGATATTCTGGAGGGCAAAGGAGCTAGGATCACAACCAAGAATCACCTACCCAGCAAAACTGAGTATAAAAAAAATCCTTCAGGGGAAAAATGAAATAGAGGACTTTCAAGTATTCTTGATGAAAAGACCAGAACTGAATAGAAAATCTCACTTCCAAATACAAGACTCAAGAGAAGCATAAAAAGGTAAACAGGAAAGAGAAATCATAAAAGACTTAATAAGGTTAAATTGTTGCCATTCCTACTTGGGAAGAGATACTTGCAATTTATAAGCACTTTCTCATTATTAGGGCAGTTAGAAGGATTCTATATATAGACAGAGGATAAAGATATGAGTTGAAAATGAAGGGATGATATCTAAAAAATAAGTAAAGTGTGAAATAAGAATTTACTGGGAAAAAAGGGGAAGGGAGAGGTAGAATGAAGTAAATTATCTCACATAAAAAGAAGCAAGAAACAGCTTTTATAGTGGAGGGGAAGAGGGGGGAGGTAAAGTGGACTCAGTTATCCTTACTCTCATCAGAATTCACTCAAAGAGGGAAATAACATACACCCTCAATTGGGTATATAAATTTATCTTACCCTAGAGGAAAGTAGGAAGGGAAGGGGATATGAGAAGGGGGAGTTATAGAAGAAAGGGCAGATTGAGGTTGTCAGAAGCAAAACACTATTGAGAAGAGACAGGGTGAAAAAAGGGAGAATAGAATAAATGGGGGAAATAGAATGGAGAGAAATATAGTTAGTGATAGAAACTGTGAAAAAAATTGAAGCAAGTTTCTCTGACAAAGGCCTCATTTCTCAAACATATAGAGAACTGAGTCAAATTTATAAAAATAATAGCCATTCCCCAATTGATAAATGATCAAAAGATATGAACAGTTTTCAGATGAAGTAATCAAAGCTATCCATAGCTATATGAAAAAAATGCTCTAACTCACTACTGATTGGAGCAATGAAAATTAAAACAATTTTGAAGTACCACCTCATACCCATTAGGTTGTCTAATAGGACAGAAAAGGAAAATGACAAATGTTGGAAGGGAGGTGGAAAAAATGAGACATTAAGTCACCATTGGTGGAGTTGTGAACTGATTCAACCATTCTGCAGAGCAATTTGGAACTATGTTTAAAGTACTATAAAACTATGCATATCCTTTGACCTAGCAATAACACTACTAGGTCTGTATCCCAAAAGAGACAAAAATGAAAAGGACTTATATGTACAAAAATATTTATAGCAGCTCTTTTATTGGTAGCAAAGAATTGAAAATTGAAGGGATGCCCATCAATTGGGGAATGGCCAAACAAATTATGGTATGTGATTATGATGCAATACTATTTTGCTGTAAGAAATGATTAGCAGGATACTCTCAGAAAAACCTGGAAAAACTTACATGAGCTGGTGCAAAGTGAAATGTACTGTTTACACAGTAATAGCAATATCAGAAGATGATCATTTGTAAATGACTCAGCCATTGTCAGCAATACAATGATCAAAGACAACTCTGACGGACTTATGATGAAAAATGCTATCCATTTCCAGAGAAAAAATTGGTAGAGTCGGAATACAGATTAAAGCATACTTTTTTTACTTTATTTTTCTTAAGTTTTTTTTCTTTTTTGGTATATGTTTTCTTTTACAACATGACTATTAGGAAAATATTTTTCATGACTACACCTGTGTAATCTATATTGAATTGCTTGCCTTCTCAGTGAGGGGTGGGATGGGGAGGGAGGAGGAGAGAGAATTTGGAACTCAAAGTTTTAAAAATGAATGTCAAAAATTGTTTTTACACGTTACTTAGGAAAGATAAAAGAAAAACAAAGATCTCCTTCCAGCTCTAAATCCCATGATCCTAAATGATACAACGCCAAGCAGTGACTCCAAACACATTTATCAAGTACCTCCAATGTGATAAAATGAAAAATGACCCAATCCTTTTTCTTAAGATGGTGGGACCTGTCAAAATCTCCTTTGTTAGTTTAGACACTTCTCCCACAAATGCATGTGCTTATACTGGGAACAATTGACTCCATGTTTTTCTCTTCATTTTTGGAGTGCTATTGTTGTGGTTTCATGGTGTATTGTGAGGGTCATCTCAAAGAATTCAAACTCAGACCATCTCCAATCCAAGCAAAAGCATTTATTGAGGATTATGCTCTCCAGAAGGCTGAGTTCCAAGAGGAACCAGTAACTTCAGTAAGACAAGATAAGTAATTGTATAGTGTTATGATGCTGATTACACAATAGAAATTATGAATATTAACAAAGCAGGGGGCAGTGAGGTGGCACAGTGAATAGAGCACCAGCCCTGGAGTCAGGAGGACCTGAGTTCAAATGTGGCCTCAGACACTTGACACTTACTACCTGTGTGGTCTGGGCCCCATTGCCTACAAAAACAAGCAAACAAACAAAGGCAGGAGGGGTTTGTCAGGGGATTAGGTAATAGGATAGGGGTCCCAGCCTCAGTGGAACTTCACATGCTATTACCCACTATGCTTATAGAAAATCCTACTCAGAGAGGCATGTATGCATGATAATAATAATAATATAATAAGCCTCTCTATGTCATAAGTTCACTTAAAGGACAGCTTTTACTATTACTGCACAGGTGCCTACTTAGGGAAAGCCCCTTCAGTTGTTTGTGAGTCTACCTCATGCTCAGGCATCCTGGTGGTGCTGCTTTCTGATTGGCTAGCTATTGTGCCTGACATTAGATGGATGTGGTTGAGTTCACGGACATACCTATTGGAGGAATAGGTCTGGGGGCAATGGCTAGCATTGCATCACATGGACATGCCTGCTGTGCTAGAGGACCAGTGAGGCATATATGAAGAGGGGTGGGGGGCAGTGGCTAGGTAGAAGCTGAACCCGTTGTTCAGTGAAGCCTATGATTGAGTCTGGGGCCCTGTGGTGTGATTAAAGCCAGATTGTGTGGTTAAATCAGGACATGCCTGCTGTTTAGTGAGGTCCATAAGGAAGTTAGAATATTGGTGTTGGGGACAGCTTTATTAGGATTCCATCACTATTTGAAGCAATCAGGGTCAATTTGTATAACATGGCCCTGGAGAAAGGTGGGAAGTAAGAAAGCAAATGAAAAAAAAAAAAGCAAGAGTACTTTTCCAAATCCCAAAAGACTCTATGGAAACTTATCACCAAATAAGAGGCAGTTTGCCCAGGTGCTAGGAGAGGAAAGAGGTAAACAGCATGGACTCACCATGAGCTGGCATGGAAGTAGAACATACAGACGTGTTTGAGTAATCCAAGAAAGAAGTATTTCTCTTGCAATCTAAGTAGACTCTTTGAAAGGAGAGGGCTGTATATCCTGGAAGCAAAACAACAACACACAAAAAAAGTTTTAAATAACTTAGAAGCATTCTAGCTCTGGGAATGAAGGAGCTATCATATTTGAACTAATAATTTAATAATTCTATGGTCCAATGGCCCAAGAAATGACACCATTACCTTAGTAGGAGAAGCAGTACAGTAGGGAGCTGCGGCATAGGAAAGGACAATGAAAGAACCAAGTTAGGAGGAAGAAGGATGGCAGAATACCTACATAATGCAGGTTGCCATTGGAGCTCTAGTGTGGAAGAGTGAAGCCCAAGTTCTTTCTCTTTGTTGAGGGTCTCCAGTAGGGTAGTACTAGTCATTGCAGATTATAGCCCTTGAAGAGGAATTCCCCCTGAAAGGGAGGCGTTCCTTTTTGCTCACCATCATCTTGGTTATGAATCCCTGTCTGTTACTTTCCTCTATAAATAAAACTGTTCTGTGATGCCCCTGTTGATGAGATGGAGATGATGACTACACTTTGGGACAGACACATGCTTGAATTCCATAGTTCTTCCTGGATGTTGACAAACAATCCAGATTGTTGGGATTAGTGAATTTTTGGCCACTTCCTGGGGTTTTTCAGAGAATGAGGTTCCCCAGATCCCTAGGTGGGGGAGAGGAGGAAGTGAGTCAAATGAGTATTTCTAGCACAAAGTATTTCTGAGTCCTTTGGTCTAGGAGGAAACCTCTGGCACAAGAGTTAGTCCTAATAAACACAAGCAACTAAAGAAACTAATAGTTGAGTAGATTAGGATACTTGGGTCATAATCATAACTTGGGTCAATCTTTTCCCAATAGAAAAACAAATATGAATCGTGACATAAATAATGCAAAATGTCGATAAGATGCCAAAGATCTACCATGCTGTGGTATCAAGTTAGAAGCCAAAAAAGAGTTAACAGACAATGGAAACCATTCAGAATTGGGGTTTATAGCAATATGACTATAATTCTGAAGGAAAGGGCCTTATGTCTAAACTCTTAGCCCTGTGCCTCATCTGCCTTTCCTAACCAGCTTCTTCCTTCCCTATTTCCTTACTCCAGGCAAAGATAGAATAGTCTACATAGTGGGAAGAGCCCTGGACTAGGAAACCTGGGTTCTATTTCCAGGTCTGTCACTAACTACTATTAGCCTTAGTTTGCTTATCTATAAAATGAGGATTGTTTCAGCTCTAATCACCCATGAATCTATAAACTTTATTGGATATATTTCTTGTCTCTGAAAAACCTCTTGCTCACTCTCCTCCCAGTGAATGAGATGTTAGGAGATTTGAAATGCTAGCACGCAACATCAATTGCAAAGCTCTTTTCATAGATGAAAGGCATGGGACCAAGGCAGACATATAGCCATACAGACAAACTGCTGTTCAGAAGGGCTTCAACCAGGCAAAGCACACACACACACACACACACACACACAAAACTACTATAGAGTAGCTATCTATAGCTCAACTAGGTAAAGAAGCCAGTTTGGTGTGGACTTAAGCAGCTATTGGCCATATAAGCTTCTAAAGGGCACTTTGAAATTTTCTTGGATGGTTCCTCCGCTCCTGGAGTAGTGTATGAATTTAGAAAGTAACAAGAGAGTAGCAAGTTGTCCCTTAAAAGTTCAGGGCTTGGAGGATGGGGGTGGGAGACAGAATCTCTAAGAGATAGCCGGATGGCCAAATGTGTTTAGTCGTCTGCTTATAGTAGGCCTTTAGGCTTTAAATACCTACTTCTAAATCTTTTTTCACATTTTCATCACTGAGTCTCTCTTATCTTCTAGTCTGAATCTTACCCACTAGAGTGGACAAACTCTTTAAAGACAGGGACCATATTTTACAATCCTTCATATTCCTTCTACATAGAACCACCACAACGCCTTTTACACAGTATGTACTCTGAATTTTTAGTGATTGATTAAATTCTATGGCTGACTTTCATTCCCAGAACCATCCCTGCCAGGACATGTTATTTAATTGGTCTCGTGAAATTCTGGGTCTCTTTCACAGTATATACCATTTCGTTGGCCAAGCATTACTGGGAAGATACTACAAGGAGATTTTCATTTGTAGAGATATTCAAAGGAAAAAGGGATATAGGTTCCTTTTATATGTAAGGTGAAGAAGGTTAAAAAGTATAAATAAATTGAATGTCAGTAACATTTAGACACATGCTAAAAAGATCTCTTGGCATTAAAAGTTTAGCAACCACTAAATTTAGGTAAGTTTATGCAACTAGATAATTCCAAGGCTAAAAGAAAAGGTCTAAATAAAGATGAAATGTTCAGGGGCCATTTTAGTGATAGTACGGTGATAAAGACTAGTCATTTGTAGCAATAAATCTGCTTTGGATATGAATCAAAAGCAGAGGTTGTAGTTGACAGATCAGAGGTGAACTAACAGAGAAAACACAATGAGCTCTTACTTTAATCACCTGATAACGCAAATTGAAGTCTGTGTTTCTTTAAACGAAGCACTGTCATTTGAAGAGCACTAAAGAACCTTAACAAATGGGGCATCATTTGAAGTTTAAGTTCTAAACTCTTTTCATGGGAATAAAGCATTATGAGGAAAAACACATCGTCACTGCTGGGGTTGGCAGCAAAAAGGGAACTAAGGAAGAACTAAAGGACCCTATTTTTAATATCTTTGAAAAAAGCTTTCGCCTCTGGAACACTTCTTCAGAGTTCACAGGTTGAAAAACTGGCCCATTAGAACTTGATTTTGCAGCTAACTATTTCATTACTCCTTGGAATGACCTGATGAACTTGCTGACCCCTTAAGGGCTCTTCCAACCCTGTATGTCTGTGAAGTCTTTTCCAAAATAAACGCTTGATGTATCACAAAGACCAATTTGAAATGGCTGAGAATATTTTAAATTATACACACACATACACACACACACACACATAGGTGTATACATGTATACACACATATATAATTCAGAATCTTTTGTTCATAGCTAAAATAATTTCCATTCTCTGCTATGCAACTAAATTCCATGTGTAGACAAAAGATTAGTAAATATTAAGGACAAGGACTGTACCTGTGATTTCTATGCTAGGGAAGGTGGGGAGGGAGTGCCTTCTCATATTTGATAATAATAGCTAGCATTTATAAAGTGTCAATGTGCTAAGTGTTGTACAATTATTATCTCATTTGATCCTCACAACAATCCTGGAAGGTAGGTGCTATTACTATCCTCATTTTACAGATGAGGAAACTGAGGTAAACATTAAGTGACTTGCCCAGGGTCACACTGCTAATAAGTACCTGAGGTGACAACAGACCAATTGCTTTATCCATTGCACTACCCAGCTGTGCCAAAATATTTGTTCTTTGGGCCAAGATTTGTCATTACAACTTTTTTTAAATTCTGAATTAACCCCCCCCCCCACACACACAAACAGAGAATTTCCATACTCATATTAGAACACAAAATGAGGATTATATATGAAATTGTAAATTTCATACAACTTTTTTTAATATATGATAAATTCTACTTACTGAATGTTACTTTCAAAAAATGTTCTTTCTGTGCTTTTTTACATGAACTTCTTTGTACTGTCTTCTGTGCATTTTTATAATATAGTGGACTTCTTTTTTTAACCATAATTATTGCCCCAACCCTTTCTACAGTTAAAAACCAAGAGAAAAAAAGAAAAAAGTCTTGTCACAAATAAATGAAGTCAAGCAAAATGAAACCACCCAGTGGTCACGTTCAAGAATGTTTTATCTCTGTCCTCTGCATCAATGACGAAATCTCTATCAGGAAATGAGTAACATGCTTCAGTGTAGGTCATCTGGAGACACGGGTGGTTGTTACTTTGATGAGAGTTATTAGGTCTTTCAAAATTAATCTTCTTTACAATCTTGTTATTCTTATACTAAATGTTCTTCTGGTTCTGCTCATGTCACTCTGTATCAGTTCGCATTGCCCAGGATTTTATGAAATTGTCTCTTTTGTACTTTCTTGTGACACAATAATATTCCATTACACTCAAATACCACAATTTGTTTAGACATTCTCCAACTGTCTAAAAGGCAAACTAAGGCACTCTCTTAGATTCCAATTCTTCACTTTCCTTTTCCCCCTTTTTTAATTCCACCTTCAGAATCAGGAAGTTTGTTTTGATTGCAACTATTACCTTCCCAGTACTATGTTCCCTCCTAATTTCACACACTCTCTGCTTCTTTCCCTGTTAACTTGTACCGTATTTCAACCACCAAATAATGCATGTCTTCAACTTACTTTTATCCATTTCAGACAAGAGTGAAATTTACTCACCACCTATTTTCTCAAAATTTTCCTCCATATTTATGTGCTTTTCTCATATACCTCAATTATGAGAAGTCATATTTCTCCTTGACCTCCCGTTAGGTGGTAGCACTGAAGATCTAAGTTCAACTCTGACTTCAAATACTTACTACCTGTGTGACCTTGTGCAGATCACTTAACCTCTGTTTGCCTTGGTTTCTTCAGCTGTAAAATGAGGGTAATAATAACATGCTTGAGGTTTGTTGTAAGGTTCAAGTAAGTTATTTGTAAGGTACATACTTGGTACATATGCTATGCCTGATGTGCTAAATAAATGTTAGTTATTATTGGGCAGCTAGATGACACCGTAGATAGAGTTCTGGGCCTGGAGTCAGAAAAACCTGAGTTGACCCTGTATCTGTATGACCCCGAACAAGTCACTTAACCCTGTTTGCCTCAGTTTCCTCATCTGTAAAATGAGCTGGAGAAGGAAATGGCAAATCACTGTAGTATCTTTGCCAAGAAAACCCCAAGTGGAGTCACAAACAGTTGGACATATCTGAAAGGAATGACAGCAATGAAATTATTATTACCTTTCTGTGTTTCTTTGGCCTCTTGTATTTCTATTTCAAAGTTCCTAATTATCTTTGGTCTTTTCATCTGAAATGTTTGAAAGCCCTTTTTTCTGTTAAAAATCTATTTTCCCCCTAAGATTATATTCATCCTTTCAGGGTTAGTTATTCTTGGTTTT